AGTCACGAAGTTCAGCCACCAGGTTTGCCGTGACATTACCGGAGATACTGTTCCTGATGGCTTGTAGTCCATCTTTGTGTGGAATGTTGGTGTAGAGGGCTTCTACATCCATAGTGGCCAGGATGGTGTTTTCAGGAAGATCACCGATGGCTTGTAGTTTCCTCAGGAAGTCAGTGGTGTCTCAAAGATAGCTGGGAGTGCTGGTAGCGTAGGGCCTGAGGAGGGAGTCTACATAGCCAGACAATCCTGCTGTCAGGATGCCAATGCCTGAGATGATGGGGCGTCCAGGATTTCGAGGTTTATGGATCTCGGGTAGCCGATAGAATACCCCAGGTCGGGGTTCCAGGGGTGTGTCTGTGCCGATTTGTTCTTGTGCTTTTGAATGGGTCAGTCCAGTGGTCCATCTAGCCCAGTATTCTGTCTAATGAGATTAGGGCAGTGATTCTCAACCTATTTACCATTGTGGGCCACAATGTGTTACGGGGGCCACATTCAATACTACCTGTATGGCCTTGAGGCTGTCACATGGGCCGCAGCTCTGTGCTGATCGGGCTGCAAGCGGCCTGTGGGCCATAGCTTGAGAACCGCTGGGTGAGGGGAAGTTTATAAAAAGAAGGCCTGTGACTAATAGAGGTGACTGGAGATGGTTTTAAACCACACCAGCCACACCACCAGGGCTCATTCACCTGCACATCTGCCAATGTGATATAGGCCATCATGTGCCAGCAACGCCCCTCTGCCATGTACATTGGCCGGACAGTCAGAAAGAATAAATGGACACAGATCTGACATCAGGAATTATAACATTCAAAAACCAGTAGGAGAACACTTCAATCTCCCTGGATACTCAATAACAGACTTAAAAGTGGCCATTCTTCAACAAAAAATCTTCAAAAACAGACTCCAACAAGAAACTGTTGCGGGGGAGGGATAGTTCAGTGGTTTGAGCATTGGCCTGCTAAATCCAGGGTTGTGAGTTCAATCCTTGAGGGGGCCATTTAGGGATCTGGGGCAAAAAAAAAAATTGGGGATTGGTCCTGCTTTGAGCAGGGGGTTGGACTAGATGACCTCCTGAGGTCCCTTCCAACCCTGATATTCTATGATTCTATGAACTGCAGAACTGGAATTAATTTGCAAACTGGACACCATCAAATTAGGCCTGAATAAAGACTGGGAGTGGATGCGTCACTACAAAAACTAACTTCCCCCTGCTGATACTCACCTTCTTGTTAACTGTTTGAAATGGGCCCCCTTGTTTACATTTACATTGGCCTCATTAGCACTACAAAAGTGATTTCCACCCCTTCTTGTCCACTGCTGAGAATAGCCCACTTCCACCTTAACTGAATTGGCTCATTAGCACTGAATCCCCCACTTGGTAAGGCAACTCCCATCTTTTCATATGCTATGTATTTATACCTCCCTACTGTATGTTCCACTCCAAGCACCTGATGAAGTGGGTTTTAGCCCACAAAAGCTTATGCCCAAATAAATTTGTTGTTTAATTTCTCTAAGGTGCTACAAGGATTCCTTGTTGTTTTTGCTGATACAGACTAACATGGCAACCACTCTAAAACATGTCTTAAAAGGAGCAAACATAAACCTTCCCACCCCACCAGCGTTATCTTAAAAGTGAAGCCCATGTGAACGCAGGTGGAATGGAAAACCTGTTGATCAACAGGAAGGAGGGGAGGAAAGGCCTTGGGGAGAAAGGAGGTTGTAAAACTCATCTGGATTGAGACTAGAACTAAGGGTGACAGTGTCCCAGTGTTTTTAGCTGGGGCCAGTACCTGGCAATGACATCACTGGTTTGCTGAGGGGTATAAAGAGCTGGGAATTTGAGGGGGCTTGGTAAACCTACCTGACTACGCGGGAGCATGCCAGGAGGAGATGGTTTTCCCCAGGTCTGGCCTGTTTTTCCCTGCACTGAGCACCTGCTTCTGCCGGCTCTGGTACCCTGCGGGGCCTGCGCCTGCTTAGCGGCGGGCTCCCAACCCCGCGTGCCCTCTGCTCTCCCAGGCTAACAAGGGCTCGTGCGGTGGCTCGGCCCGCAGGAGGGCTGGGCGTGGGCACGGAGGGCTCACGCCCTCTCGGGGCGCTGAGACCGGGGCAGGCGGACCGGCCACCCGCCAAGGCCCAGGAGAGACCCACGCAGCCCGGCTCCCGCGCCCCCCGCGGGGAGGGGTCGCGTCCTTACCCGGCTGGTCCCAGCCCCGCGCAAGCCCCGGCCCGCTCAGGAGCAGCAGCAGGGATATGAGCAGGACCCGCCCGCCGGCCGCCATGACGATGCCAGGGCGCATCCAGCGGCTACAGCCCGCTGTCACCCGGCCCCGACAGCTCGCGTTACTGCGCACGCGCCTGCAAGCCGCGCCCTCTAATTGGCTAGTGATTGTTGAGCGGTTGACTTGCTCGCGCACCCTGCTGCGTTCTGCCCACGGCGCAGAATATGGGCGGAGTCCGGCCAATCCTCGCTCCGCCCCCGTGCTGATGCCTCCCCTCTGCCGGCAGAGCCCAGGGGCGGAGAGGAGGCTCTGAGCCTGCCGGGGGGGCCGCTGGGCAAAGTTTAAGGCTGCCATTTAGTCAGGGGTATTTTTAGTGAAAGTCTCCAACGGGTCATAGCGATAAACAAAAAGTCACTGCTCCGACCTGTCCATGACTTGTCCGATATACGCCAACTAAAACTTAGGCGCTCTTGGGGCTGCGGGGGGGCTCCAGCAGATGCTGCTGCTCCAGGGCAGCAGGGGCTGGTGCAGCTGGCCACAGCGTCTGGGCTCAGCTGCAGCGGCTGCTGCAGAAGTCCTGGCAGTCCCGGGAAGCCACGGAATCCGTGACCTCCATGAAAGACTCTCAGCCTTAGCAATGTCTAATAGGTGCACATGTGATTTCTGTACTGCAGCTGTTTCCCATATTCCCTCGCTGTTCAGCACCACCCCAGTGCCTCCCAGGCTGGGCCTCTGCCCTGCTGCAGTGCTGGAGCTGCAGGATGGCACAGGCAGAGTTAAGGGTGCCTGGAGGCGATTTTGTGTCCTCAGGTTGTTTTGTTAGCAAAGAGCAACGTTGGGTGCAGGTGGGGCTGAAGGAGTGGAAGGTTATTACACCCCATGGAGGGCACCTTTCCTGGGGTTGAGCGAATCCCCACAGCTCCTGGGGCCCCCTCAGACCAGGGGGCCCCTCCACAGCACACAGGCCTCTAATTCCAGCCCTGCTGGTCAAAACACATGCTTCCTCCTGGGCATATGTTTTAATGTAAGGGCTGCAGTGCCCAGAGCCCAGGCTGTGTCTTTTCAGCCAGGCCTCCTAAGTGGAGTCTTGGCTTAGTCACAGTCTCAGCTGGTTACACGGTGTGGGTTAAAATCTGGGTTACTTACAACAGCAGGAAGACAAGGGCTAGCACCCAAGGCCAAACCTGCCACACAGCCTGGGTTGAACATGAGCTGCTAACCCAAGTTAAATTCCGAATAGTTGAGTCTTCTCTGCTGATTTAACCCAATTTAGCGATCCTGAGTTAAGAACACGCTTTGTTTGGAGCCTAGACATACCTAAAGAGTGATGCTCTTGTTCAATCAAAAGTTATTGGGCTTGCTAAAGGACACATTAGTTAAAATTTTGTGGCTTGTGTTATTCACTAGATAAGAGGTCAGTTTAATCCCTTCTGGTCTTAACAACTGAATCTATAGACCCAATTTATGCACTATAGCTCTCATTTGTGTTAATAAACTTTTTCAATATTGTAGACTTTCTGTGCGTCATATAGTGCCTAATGCAGTAAGCCAGAGGTTCTCCACCTTTTTCTTTCTGAGCCCCCTTCTCCCCCCAGCATGCTATAAAAACTCCCTGGCCCACCTGTGCCACAAAAACAGTTTTTCTGCATAGAAAAGTCCAGGCTGGCATTAGGGGGCAGCAAGCAGCCAAGCAGGGCAATTGACCACGGCCCCACACCACAGGGTACCCTGTAAAGCTAAGTTGCTCAGGCTTTGGCTTCATCTCCCCATGGCGGGGCTCAGGTTTGGGCTTTCTGCGCTGGGCCCCATAGAGTCCAATGCCAGCCCTGCTTGCCAGACCCACTGAAACCTGCTTGCAGCCCTCCATGGGGCTCTGGACCCCCAGTTGAGAACTGCTGCATTAAACTTAAATGTAGACCATACCCAATCCTCCTCTTGAAGGACTGAGCCTTAAATGTTTTTGGCAAAACGTAGTAAATTGGTTTTGCTTATTGAGGACTTGAGCTAGACACAGATTTGGAATATACACATGTTCAAAAAGCATGTTGGTCATGGAGGGCCTTTTTTGCTTTGTACCAGCTGTTCCTTCCAAGTTCTTTTGCTCTGCATTCAGTGTGCAATTACATATTTTGTGTGGCTCCTTTGAAAGGGATGGGCAATTACCTTACACATCCAGCAACATCTAAAATTGTTCACGCTGGAGGGAGGAGCAGGCACTCTGTCAGCTGCAGAATTGCCACCTCAAGCATTCAAAAATCATGACTCAGACCCAAATGAAATTTGTCTGAAAAATAACAAAATAACAACAGTGGGGATGTTTTGATTTGTTTTCAGCATCCTGTTCTGACTGGCTCACGGTGTCAGCCAACCACAAGGGCTAGAAACCAACTTGTTTTACAGAGGAGAGTCTCCCATAATCACAGGGCTCCAGGAGCTGGGGCTTTAAGGAAAGCACCAAACGTTGTGCGACTAATGATAATATCAGGGGGGTTGCAACATTTCTGAGGTAAGAACTGAGGCACAGCTGGCATCTGCGCCCAACAGGGAGCGGTCTTGGGCCAGGCGGGAAGGGGTGTGACTTGGGCGCTTCATTTTGCTGGTCTAGGGAGGCTGAGTAACATGTTGTCCCTGGCCCTGTAAGGATTCCCCGCTGCGATACTGGCCCTTTAAGCAGCCACCTCCCTTCCCCGACAGGCCCCTCGCGCAGGGCTTCACAGCCGCCCCAGTCACAAGACGGGGGGGCCGAGCTCCTGCGTTGGCGGCTGCGCAGTTCTTACCGGAAGTGTTGTCTCGCCGCATACGCACTTCCGGGGGTGGGGTCGGGCCTGCTCTGCGCCGGCGGGCGGCTGGGCGCAGAGGGGAGCGGCGGCGGCGGCACTATGGCCGGGATCAAAGGTGCCGGGGGCAGGAGCGGTTGTTGGCGCTCGGCGTTGGGAGGGATCAGGGAGCGGAGGCGGATGGGTGCCCCGAGACCCAAGGTCCCAGCTACACCCCGTGCCCCGAGGTAGAGGGGGAGCCGCCGGGGCAGCGCCTTCGCTCCCCGGTGCGGGGCCGGTCTCCCGCAGCCTCGGGTCGGGCCCTCCACCCTGGCGGGGAGCAGTGGCTGGGCCGCGGGTGCGCGGAAACGGCTGTCAGAGCTGCCCTGCGCCCCCAGCGCCGTGAGCAGCCGCGAGAGACCGGGCGCCGCGCTGAGCGGTTCTCGGGGTGAGCGCTCTCTGCGGGGGAGACTCGGTCCGGAGGCCCGAGTGGTCTCTTCCTCCGTGTGGCTGATCCAGGCCACCCCAGTACCCACCGCCGGGGGCTAGCAAACACACCCGTACCTTGTCCCCCCTTGGGTTTGACTGCAAGGTAGCTGTTTCCACGTGAAAACAAAGCCTTAGGCCTGCAGCACTTGATTGGTTTATCCCTTGGCTCTCGTTCGTGGGGGCGCCTTTGCAGACAGGAGGGTGGAAGGTCAAATTTTAAACACCCACAACTAGTAAATTCTGCAAGAAATATTACTTTTGCTTTCCCTCGCTCTTCCAGTGAAAGCCATCTTCTGGCTACAGGCAAGCTGACTCCTCAAATCCTAGATTTACTCTAATCTTCATTTGTATTGTATCTATACAACTAGAATCTCCAGTAACATTTTTCATAAAACAAATCCTAACTTTAAATGGACTGAAATCTCTTGGGGAATACCTTTATGAATCTGTGAAGTTAAATAATTCTGATCTTAGGATTTTATTTAAAGACAGATTTACAATGAAGCCAGCTGGCTGGTTAAGAATTGGTAAGACTTCAGTTTCTTGAAATCTGTCATTTGCCTCAAAATGTTTTCAGATAAAAATGAACACATGGAACCAAAAGCACAATAACTTAATGGGAAACAGGTTTAACATGAAATTTAACATATTTCTATATTAATAATTCCTTTGATTGTTTAAAATTTGAAATAAGCTAGAAGTAGCCTTAGGTACTAGCTCTGCTTCTGAGATCTCACTGATTTTTGCTGTATAATTTTATGTGGGTCATTTTAAGAGAAAATACGTAGAAGAAACCGACTGAGTGTACGGGGTAAACAGTACAATGTACTATGGGCAAAATGCTGTCAAATTAATGAAGGGCCTGATTCAGAGTCCTTTGAGGTCAGAGTTTTTGTTAGCTCCATTGGGCTTTGGAATCCATAAACAAACCGAATAATCCATTTTAAAAAATATGAAAGGAAAATACTTTACAATTACCTTACGATACTTTAGAATTCCAAAAACTCTGTTCACTTCAATTTTATTGTCTGAATCTATACTGGGAAATGGGTATGTATATACCACATAGCTTCAGGAGAAACCTCTATTCATTCTCCTTGCTAGCTTAATCATACTGCCAAAGTTAAATCACATTTTCCTCAGAATAGGATTAATAAATGAAGTAACCCCATGAAGTTACCTGAAGGGACTCAACCTCTCTTGTGGTTCAGAAAGTCCCAAGGTGGATATGACAGTCCCACTTGCATCATCTTTGTTCTTTAAGTATTAACAGGTGAAAATATGTAGCAAACAAAGAGGTGAAAGCCTCATTTTAAATTACATTCAAAACTTCATCTAAAATAGACTTTCTTTTAAAGCTTAATATAAATGTTCCTGTAACCAAAGTTACATTTTTGTGTAGTGTTAAATACAAATGTACAGAACCTTTTACTGTAATACCAATAAACATCTCCTTAAATTAAATATGAAACAAATGAGAAATAAAATGTTTGCTTATAATGCTCTAATGGCTTGGAATCAGTGAAAAGAATCTGGGAACTTGAGTTTCAGTAGATTTGAATGAATCCTACTTAATACACAAATGGTAGCACTTTAAATTTTACAGCTACTATGCTTTTCAGAATTAAATCTTTTAATTTGGCTGTATATCAAGTTAACATTTTCATTGGTAAATAACTGAGCAGTTTTAAGAGGACATTGTTTGATAGGATGTAAAATGAGGATTTAAAACAATTACACTTTCACATCAGTCAATGGGAATAGCTTCTATTTTCTGATTTAAAAAAAAAAAAGATTTCTAGTGGATGCAATTACCATACTTTATTTTTATATAAACGTGGACATCTCGGAGCATGAAATAAAATTGAGGTATATGTTGCATGTGACTTGACACTAATTTAGTCAAATATAACTTCAGAATAACTTTAAAAAAAAATCACATAAGAGAAGGTTTCAGAACATAGCCTTGTGAACAATTATCAATCTCTGACCTATGATACTAAACAATGAATAAGTATAAGGCAGTGAGTTTATACAAAGGAGGCTGGGCTTCTTTGCTAAAATCTTATTGTGCTAAGTGAATACAAGTAATTTAGAAATATGTCCAGTTGTATTTTTTGCAAGCTTGATTATGGAATATTCCATTCAATAAGCATGATTTGTGGCTCATTTCAAAGTTCAGCCCATTTGCATTATTAGTGTGACACATTTGTTTTTCACAATTCAAGTAGTTGAATAGATTTCCTTCAAACATGCAAAAAAATTAATCTTCTGTCTAGCCCCAAGGAGTTTTTGAGCAAGTGAAAAACAGGATTATTATTGAATCTGTTTTGCAACCTTAATTACAGCGTATTCTGTCAAGCAAATGCTGGGGAGGAATGAGATCAGCTCACCCCAATCTACTGCAATAGCATCCATTGATCTGTTTTAAATGTTTATAAAAGTAAAATTGACTTGGATATTATAGGATACTCTGTAAGCTCAAAAGCTTGTTTTTCTCCCCAACAAAAGTTGGTCCAATAAAAGATATTCCCTCCTCCACCTTGACTTTGAAAGTCTGTTAATGCAGCAGGAGGAGGCTGTTATCGCAATGATACCCATTAAAATCCCACATAAACAGTTATAATATACTTCCCACATAATATACTTCCCACATAAATCCCTTGACTTGTGTAGATATTGTTCAGCTTTGCCAACAGCCAAAAAAATTGTTAATGCTTTCAGATTGTGTAGTAGTGTTCCATGTGGTCCAGCAAACTGACCATCCTGTTCTTGATTTGTTTTCCTTACAGCTTTGATTAGTTTGTCCTTTGGAGGAGCAATTGGACTAATGTTCCTAATGCTTGGATGTGCTCTTCCACAGTACAATAGGTAATGTATACAGTTTGACTTCTTGCCCTTTCACTACTGAATAGTCTGTCCTCCAGATCCAGTGTACTGAAAATCCTTTTGCTGCACACTCGCCTGTTCCTATAGGCAGTTTTTTGATTATGGATTGAAAATGTTGGAAAAAACAAAGATCACCTGTGAACTAGTTCGCAGCTATCTGGTCAGAAGAGGGAAATCAACTAATATTAATAGGATAGTCTTAAATACAAACCATTAAGGAAAGCATCAGAAAAATATTTCTCAAATACTCCTTTTATCCTATAACCTCTGTGTACTTGCGATTGACAAGGGTTTTAGCATGTATTGAAATGGGAAATAGAAATGTATTGCCAGTGTGATGGCCACTTTGTCCAACAAGCTCTGTTGGATAGTTGATACATTCAGTGTTGTAGCTGAGTTGGTCCCAGAATATTCGAGAGATAAGGAGGGAAAGGTAATATCTTTTATTGGACCAACTTCTTGGTCTCTCTTGCCAACAACAGTTGGTCCAATAAAAGATATTACCTCACCTACCTTGTCTCTCTCGATTCACTGATAGACAAGCTTGTAGACCATCTAGCCCAAGGGAAGGCCCTTCTCGTTTCTTCTGTATACCAGGTCTGTTTGATAAATTGTCCTGCTCTTTCAACTTATGGTAGAATGAAAAAAATATACTAAACACCTCTTGCTAGGTAGGATGACATCTTGCACTGTTGTTGTGGGATAAGTTGTCCTCATGGGTCTGTGTTTTGGTCTGTAGCGTCCTTTTCCCTGCTTTCTGTGTGATAAATGTCAGGTGTAGTGCTAAATATACTTTGTATGACCCCTTCTTACTGAGTGAACGCTAAACTTAAAATATCTGCCAAAGTATTAATTTTCCAAGTTCTTAAAAATATTATGGAGGCATTCATTCCATTGCTTTGCTTTTTTTTTTATAAATGTCTGTGGAGAACAATTGTCTCCTTCCACAGATAATTTTTTTTATGGGCAGCTTTTAAGTCCTATTAAGCTTGGCTTGGTTGGTAAAATATTCAGAGTGGAGTTGATCATATCTGGTTCTCTTAAATGATGCAATGAGGCTCCCAGAAAAACATGGATGGATATGTCTTTCCCTTCATTATGTGCTTAAGAAACCATATCGGTTTAAGTGTTAATAAAATAAACCATTATTGCCAAATGGTATGGATGTATGGATTACATAATGGCATTGGTGCACTTGGATATTTAAAATGTTAAAAGATCTTGGCACTTGATTATTTTTAGTAATGATAGCTGGATTTGTGTTTTGTTTTAAATGTTTCAATACAAGTTCATGAAGCGAAGGGAGGAGCAGATTGAGATCTTTCTCTATAACCTTCTGAGAACTCCCTCTGAACCTGTTTTCCTCCACTGTCATTGAGGTCAGCTGAATCAGCCCCAGGCTTGAACATCTGGGGCTATTGCCAGAACATTTTCATCAGTGGGCCTATCTTGGTTATGGAATTCACTTCCCACATAAATGAACTGGAGCCAATATGTCTGTCAGTTCATGTTGGAATGCCCCATTCTTAAAGTTTTGCCTGAATAGGAAATCGATTAAAAGAGGGTTATAACTTTGCAGTGGGGCAAGTGACTAGTTCTTAATATGCTTTGTACAGCAATCACTGTGGTAGGGGCTTCTTAAACTTTCCTGTTTCCTGGGTGGTAGGATAAAAGTATAATCTTATATCAGGAAAAGCAACAATAAAGTATTTACTGTGGAGAAATGGGAATATTAACTCTTGTCTCTTTTTTTCTTTTCCCCAGCCAATACTGGCCACTGTTTGTTCTGTTTTTTTACATCCTTTCTCCTATTCCATACTGCATAGCAAGAAGATTAGTAGATGAAACAGATGCTACAAGTAATGCTTGCAAGGAACTAGCAATATTTCTTACAACAGGCATTGTTGTCTCAGCATTTGGACTACCTATAGTATTTGCCAGAGCACAACTGGTTGGTAATATTTCCATATGGGAACATGTTCTTTGCTAAATGATTCTATGTTGTGTAATACTCTCTCTAAGCTTAAAGTTTTGCTGATACATTTTAATATAACTTAAACTAAGATGTTTAGAGTGTACCTGAGTAGATGAAAATATATATAACACAACAGCAATATAAAAACTTACCCCCAGAAACAAAACTAGAAATGTTCCAAATAATTTGGAGACCCTTTCCAACTATTACACAAATGATAGTTCCTTGGTAGTCAGCTATTTCTCTTTCTTCTTTTTGTTAGGTTCAGTAAACAAAAATATAGGATGTCAGAGAATGATGAAAAAATGAGTGGCCCTCATCCTAATCCATGTATAATTCTCTTCAGTCCCTCAAAACACTCTGTACTGCTTTGTATTCTTTCACTTACACCTTTTAAAAGAATATCTAGTCTGCTTTAATTCCATTGAGAAAATCAGAAAATAAAGTTGTTGTTTAAGTTCTTTCCTAGAGGGAAACCTCCCAACTGAAGTGTGGCTTTCAGAAGTGCCTGAGGGAGTCAGGTGCCCAACTTCTATTGACTTTTAATGGATTCTGAACACCTAATTCCTTTATATGGCTTTTGAAAATCCCACTTAGTTACCAAGATAACTTTTTTTTTTTAGAGGGCTGCATCTATAATTCTCTGTTTAGGCAAGTCTGGTACTCGGGCTAGCAACCAAAGAAGCACAAGGGTAGGTTGAGAGCAGACGTGTTTTACTGTGTTATCTAACCCTGCTTGGAGCAGGTCTAGATGACATGGTGGTGAAAAGCAGCTGTGCCTGTACTCTAGCACTTCCTCCATTGCTAGCAGTGTGGGGAGCTGCTCTGGTGCCGGACCAACTGTGAGAGAATTGTTAAAACATGTACCTGGGCTTTGTGGTTTAATTTCAAATCATAATATACAAACTTGTCCTTGCATCAGTGACTTGTTACACTTCAGACCACGTTCAGTAACTTTGCATACTCATTTTTGTCTCATTTGGTTGCTTCTGCTGTCTGTTTCTCTGTATATGTAACTAAATTTCCCTTATCCACAGATTTTGTGGGGAGCATGTGCACTCGTCCTCACAGGGAATACTGTCATCTTTGCTACTATCCTAGGATTTTTCTTGGTCTTTGGCAGCAATGACGACTTCAGCTGGCAGCAGTGGTGAAAGGAGTTTAGTACAGAACTGTCATAGACATCTTGTCATTCAGTGGCCATCCATACAAATGAGAGAAAGGGCAATAAGGAGAAATAGCATAGCAAACCTTGGGTGTATTTTAGATCCTCCTTTTCACCTTGTTTATTGTAAGTGTACTATCTTGACTGACTTGCTGATGGATTTCAAGGTTTCTATTGTTTGGAAAAAGACACTGTGTTCACTTCCTTTTATCTAAATATGTTTAGTATCTCACTTTAAAAATTGTAATTGTTGGTTCCATTCTGTTTTTGTATTTATGCTACATATAAATGCTGGAACAAGAATTTTTAAATGGTTCCATTGAAAGTTTTTTTTTTTAAAAAGAGCAACAGTAATATTGAGTTAAAAGATGAAATGTATCTTTTTTTTTTTCTTGACCATGGTGACTAAAATATGATGTACAAAGGAGACAAAGTAAGCAATTTTACTGCCCAAACGACAGCATTGTCAATAAGCAAATGTGTATGGGGGTGGGGGTATGCATAATGGGTGGGAGTACCAGTTGTAGACTTTTTCTGTTCATACCTCACTATGACTGAAGTATTGATGTCACTGGCTTGGGGATGGGGCTTCTGCCAATAAGCAGGTAATTATTTTCTGGGATCTGATTCCTATGTTTTTAACACCCTTAAAGGAGTACTTCCCCCTTTTTGTTCTCAACTCTTGTATGGGTGTGACATGCAAATCTCTTATCTGTAAGTTTATTGATGCTATAAAATGCAAAATTTAAATTGCATTGTTGAGAAAAGAAAACTGACATTTAATTCCATTTTTCAAAAAATCTGTGTTGAAATGTTTCTATTTATAAGTATTGTATGTTTTTGGTCTTATGTCAACTTTTCACATTTTACCAAAGGGAGGTAAAATGTTCATTTATGGAACTACTGATGTGTGTTTTTGTTTTTTTTTTTTTGCAGTGGATACAAAATATTTTCCCCGCTTCCCTTTTTAAATTTATTTTATACATAGTATATATTGAGTAAAATGGCTTTTCAAATGTAGACTAACACTTAAATCATAGGTATTTAACTTGTGTAAGAAAATTGATTGCTATATGAATATACAGTACCGTCAAAGCACAACTGTTTTGCAAGTCTTTGACTGAAATGATTTCCTAGTGACTGTCAGTCTTTCAGTTCATGCATTATCTGTTAACAGTAATGTTATCTGTAATAATTGTAGTTCTTGTTCCATAAGGCTATATCACCTGTAATTTACAATATTTAAGACAAGTTTTCTGCATACCTCTCAGTTGTCTGTTTTTAATTGAAGCAAATCCTATTTATTAGACATTCATCGTGGTAGACAGTGGATTAATGCAGATTAGCCAGGCTTGATTGTATTAGATGCATCAATAAAGCTGACCAAAAATACTTCTTAATCTATTTTTATTCAACTTTTTTTAAAATGAAGATTAGAAAGCTAACTGTGCAGGCATGATAAAAATTGATTACTTAGGTCTTAATGACCAGTGCTTCAGTATAAAAAAGCACAGAGTAAGTGGATCTTGTCTTATCTTGTTTGAAAGGGGATTATTTTATTTACACGGATGTAAACTAACTATAAAACTGACTATTTCAAGTCTGATAGTTATATATGTGATATTGTATGTTCAAGATACTTAGTCTAGTGTGTACAGCTATCTGTCAGTCTACTAAAGCCACACAATGTTGTGGCTTTGAGCAATATTCTCCATAGCTATAAAGGAACTGAAGAATAAAGTCATAGGTGTGCAGAAAGTGAGTCTTTAGCAGATAGCATTTCAGCCACCTGTAAAGACATGTAACAGAAGAATCTGCTGAGTAAGGTGGAAATTTTCAAAAGTGCCTAAGTGAGTTAGAAGCATGTCTCATTGACTTTCAGTGGCACTTGTCCATGCTTTTGAAAATCTTCTAAACCAGTGGCTAAGGATAGTACTTGCCTTCACACAAAAGGTAGCACTTGTGACTTTGACAGCTCCTCCCAGATTCTTGAATTTTTTTGACCTGTCCCAGTCAATTGCCCAAGAAATGAGTTCTGTTTTTCCCATACCCACATTGCTTTCCTAGTTGTCATTGTAATACCCTGTTACTCTTCCACTTGACCACAGAATTTTTTATATTTAATAGCTGTGTATTTTTCTGTATATTTGCATTGACAGCATTGTGTTCTTGACCTTGCACACTAATTAGACATAGTGCTGTCTCTGGTTTCTAGGCTAGACACTTGAGAGGTATGATTTTTCCATATAATATGCACTGAAATAGCATTGCCATCCTTCTATAGAGAACTTTTAATGATGAAACAATAAACATTTTAAATATCAGCTTGAGTTCTGGGTATTTAATTAAAATATACTGTTATGTTAATCAAAGAGTATAATCTGATGTGTTTAAAACATGGATTGCTTTCCCCAACTTGTTTTCATAGGCAGTTGCTATTGGAACTGTTGGAAAAATGTGCTTGTTTTCAAAAATTACTTGAGGCAGTTCTGTGAACCAGTACTTCATTAATCTGAGGCTGCTATTGAGGCTTACTGTGGAGGTTTAAGATTATATATTCATCAGTACACAATGATGTCCCAACAAACTCCAAAAAAGCCATAAAAGATCATTTAAAATGTTTAGACACTTTTCCAAGTCTCTCTCCCATTTTCTTGAATTTCATTTGTAAGATGTGTAATATCAGATACTACCTCTCTAACTTAATTGTATATGCTTACATTGCCAATAGATGTCACAATATGGGGACTTCTGAAATTCTTAAATTATATATAACAGTATGCTAAACCATACAGTATTTTATTAGTTGTAACCAGTGGATTCGCCCAAGCTAGCACAATTTAAACTTAAATATTCCACAGTAATATGTTGTCAGTCAAAACTCTGGTATGTTGAGCTTCTGCTACATTTATTGCCTCAGTACACACAAGGTATAAGAATACTCATTTATAAAGAGTGGTGTGAAATACGTTTATCAGCAAACTTCTGAAAATTGGGAAGTGCCTGTTTCTAACAAAAGAAATCAATGGAAACTGTTGGATGAGCCCTTTCCTTTTTTCTAGGGGGGGAAAAACTGATAACTTGATGGGGTCAAACCAGTTTCTGAAAAGCAAAAAACATGTATTTCTAACGTGTGAAATCTGAGGAAAATTATAATAGATGGTTTCTAATGGTTGAAACTTTAATTTTCTAACCATCACTCATAAGTGAGGAAACAAGTGAGTCAGAGTCCTGCAGTGGGTGAGGGAAGAACTTATGACCGTAACAACGAAGAGCTGCTTTTCTGGGGTAAATGAGATCTCTTGGGACCAGTACTGGGGGAAGTGTTAATATAGTTTGTTGGACACAACTGAGTTGAGACTATTAAATTAGCAAATAAGGATTAGGGATACTTTAGGTCTAAACATATCAATGGACATTAATTAGCACAATGGCAAATGGAATTTGACTAGGATAAGTTACTCTTGACTAAAATCTAAAATACTTGTTGTGACGTTCCCCCCTGGTGTTATCTGGACTGGTGATCTGCTAGGTCACTCCAATCCTTGACTCTGGGAGCCAGCCTTACCTTGCTCTGCTGTGAGAATCTCCACTCTTGGGCTGTTCATGCACAGCCTCTGGCATGGAAGCTGCTCCCAGCTACTTGCAAGCGAATGACACTAGCCAATATCTCCGGTCTCAGACACAACCCTAGGAACCTCCATCTTGCAATGTCCAGTTATGCCTGCTGGACACTGCAAGTTTGAGTTTGTCAAGTGAACAAAGAAATTGATATGTACCAGGCTTGTTATCCCAAAGGAAGCCTCTGACATGTTTCAAACCAAATGCACTGCTTCAGGTAGAATAAACAAACTTATTAACTATGATAGATTTTAAGTGATTATAAGTCAAAGCATAACAAGTCAGATTTGATCAAATGAAATAAAAGCAAAACACATTCTAAGCTGCTCTAACACTTTCAATGTCTTTACAATCTTAGATGCTTCTCACCACAGGCTGGCTGGTTGCTCTTCAGCCAGGCTCACCCCTTTGATCAGCGCTTCAGTTGCTTGGTGTGGTGTCTGTAGATGTAGGTGGAAGAGAGGAAGAGCATGGCAAATGTCTCTTCCTTTTATCATGTCCTTTCTTCCCTATTGGCTTTGTCCCGCCCCCACCCCGTCCAGAGTTGCGTGAGCATTGTCTCTCCAAGCAAGGTTGAGCAATTCCCCTGGTGTGGCCCCATGCAGGTGAGTCATTGCAGCACCCATTGCAGCTCCCTTGTTGGACAATGGCTGTTGATGGTTGTTTGATACCCCACCTGGGTGTTGGTTACCTTCCTTGCTGTTGCCTCTGTGGAGCTAATATTTGGCTGATTCCCCTAACTTACAGCATGTTTTAGTGACCACCATACAACACAATTCTTTTCTCATATATGAGTTAACGATACACATCTATGGATAGAGAAATGACTTCCAGCAGATCATGACCTTTCCCCTGATACCTTACAAAGCATGCTTTATTTGTAAGATCACAATTATATGAAAATGAGGAATATGGGGGCTACAGTATGCTCCCCAAGGTATAGAATGTCACACGCATGAACTCTGAACTTGCACTATCTTAGGAGTGGAAAAGGCCAAAAAGTCCTTGTGGATGGATAGTTTAAAGAATAAGGCTGCCTATTGTATTTAAAAAAAAAAAAATTTAGGTTGCATTTGCAAAAGGATGGATACTACAGACTTGAACTTTATGCAATCACCTGGCCTCAAGAAACCACTGAGATTTAAATGTTTATACAAAAATAGTGGTACAATGGGTTTACATACCAGAGACTGGAAAGAAAGTGAAGTGTTAACAATGTCAACATAAAATGAAGCTTCTGAGTCTGTTGCCTATTACAAATTACTCCTTCAATGAGTAGAGTGTTAGCATAACTGGAAAAAGTATAGGAAAAATGTTTAGCATGTAGTGTTCCCTCAAATTTGTCTACTGTGTGCAACAAATGATCAAGTCTAAAACCTCTAAATGTAATCTCTCCCACATTGTCCATTTATTTATAAAATTAAGTCAGTGGCAACGTTAATCTACCAATTTACTATGGAAGTGTTACATGTACTTGTTCTATTATCATTTTAGTTTTCGTGGATCTTGTTCCTGGGCACTGTTGCTAAGCTGTAAGTTAAACAAGGAAAGGCTGTTTGCGCCAAAGATACTGTTAAAATCAAATCCTGTAACAACAGCAAGCTGTACTTCATGGTCATTGTATAGTTTGGCTATTCTCAGCACAGGAGTGAAGTTCTGGAACAGCCTTCCAAGAGGAGCAGTGGGAGCAAAAACTTAACAAGCTCAATCTTGAAACAAGTTAAGTTTTTATGCAGGGGATGTGTCATAAAGGGAAGGCTAACCACCTTTAAATCCCTCCTGGCCAGAGGAAAAAACCCTTTCACCTGTAAAGGATTAAGAAGCTAAAGATAACCTCGTTGGCACCTGACCAAAATGACCAATGAGGAGACAAGATACTTTCAAAGCTGGGAGCGGGAGGCCAAAGGGGTCTGTCTGTCTGTTTCTTTTGCTGGGACAAGAGCAGGAATGCAGATCAGAACTCCTGTAAAGGGTTAATAAGCAATCTAGTTAGATATGTGTTAGATTCTGTTTTGTTTAAATGGCTGATAAAATAAGTTGTGCTGAATGGAATGGATATTCCTGTTTTTGTGTCTTTTTGTAACTTAAGGTTTTGCCTAGAGGGATTCTCTATGTTTTGAATCTGATTACCCTGTAAGGTATTCACCATCCTGATTTTACAAAGGTGATTCTTTTACTTTTTCTTCAATTAAAATTCTTCTTTTAAGAACCTGATTGCTTTTTCCTTGTTCTTAAGATCCAAGGGTTTGGGTCTGTGTTCACCTCTGCAAATTGGTGAGGATTTTTATCAAGCCTTCCCCAGGAAAGGGGGTGTAGGGCTCGGAGGGATTTTGGGGGGGAAAGGCATTTCCAAGCAGGCTCTTTCCCAGTTATATTTTGTTAGATGCTTGGTGGTGGCAGCCATAAAGTCCAGGGACAAAAGGAAAAATAGTTTGTACCTTGGGGAAGTTTTAACCTAAGCTGGTAAAAATAAGCTCAAGGGCTTTTTCATGCAGGTCCCCACATCTGTACCCTAGAGTTCAGAGTGGGGAAGGAACCTTGACAGGATGGTTTGATGTTGCCTATGATAGCAATGTGCCCCTTTTGTGTGACTGTTAGCAAATCTCTCCAAAGGCCAGAGATGGGACATGAGAGGGGGAGAGCTCTGAGCTACCACAGAATTTTTTCCCAGGTGTCTGGCTGGTGGGTCTAACAGACTGCCATATTTGGGGTTGGGAAGGCATTTTCTTCCAGGTCAGGTCGGCAGAAACCCTGTTTTGTTTTGCCTTCCTCTGTAGTGTGCAGCATGGGTCACTTGTTTGAACTATAGTAAATGGTGGATTCTCTGTAACTTGAAGTTTTAAATCAAGATTTGAGGACTTTAATAATTCATCCAGAGATTATTGGCCTATTACAGGAATAGGTGGGTGAGGTTCTGTGGCCTGTGATATACAGGTCAGACTAAAAAAATCATAATAGTCCCTTTAGGCCTTAAAGCTTGAGTCTAAGATGTACAAACCCCAACTGAAGCTGGAATAAGAACTGCCTCAAGATAATCCCAAATGTGTAAAATACTGCAGAAGTTTGCTGAGGAAATGTATGGCACAAACGTTTTGCCAAATTTTGAGAGAACTATGGCCATAAAAGTAGCTAGTCTTAACTAAAAAGTGATGCAGTGCAAATATTGAAATCAAATGCATTTTAAGATTTTTAAAATATTCTCTCCAAGTTACAGATTTTACAGTCAGAAGGGGCCACTGCAAGCAGAGAACAGATGGGAAAGGCTTTCATTCTGCCCTAAATTGCATCCGATGAAGTGAGCTGTAGCTCTGGAAAGCTCATGCTCAAATAAATTGGTTAGTCTCTAAGGTGCCACAAGTCCTCCTTTTCTTTTTTCGTTCTGCCCTAAGTACCTTGTCTGAAACAGCGTGGTTAAGGGCCCGCTATCCCGGGTAACAAACTGGGAAAGTACTGTGTTGCTAAGCCCCGATCCGCTTGGAATAAGTTAGTGACAAACGGGGTGGTTCAGATTGTGTTTTCTATTTTCACTTCTACAAGCGTCTAAGTTTTTTCTCCTCGGGGCCCCGGAGTCCAGCACCGGTCAAATGCCTGTAGCGCTCCCTTGAAGTAAGTCTTATTCCAGGGGGTCAGAGCGGGCCTGAAGCAGTCCTGCACCGCGTGCGCTAAACGCCGGCCCGGCCTGGCAGGAGAAGGCGGAGAGCCCCCTCCCGTTACACGAGCTCTCTGCGGCAGGCGCCCGAGGGCGAGCGGCCGCAGCCACTTCCCACCAAGCCACGCGTCACGGTGCCCGAGGGCCAGCGGGCGCTGCGGGCTGGGCGGGGACCGGGACTGCTGAGGCGGCGCCCCGGTTTCTGCAGGCGGCTGGGCGCGCTTTCCCCAGCAGCGCTCCCGGGCCTGGCTATCGGCGCTGGCCCCACCTGGGCTCTAGCTGGCCCCGCCCCCGGACCGACCCCGGACAGCGCCGGGCCGACGGCGACGCGCGCCCCGGCCCCCGGCGGGCACGCGTCCGCTTCCGGGGGAAAGGTGACGAGCCGCGCCCCCGCTCTCCCCGTTCCCAAGATGGCGGCCGCCGGCGGCGCGGGGACGGCGGCCGCGCTGTGGAGCGAGGTGAATCGCAGCGGCCAGAACGGAGACTTCGGCCGCGCGCTCAAGTCCGTCAACAAGTGTGAGTCCCGCGCGCGCGCGCAGCACCCCCTCCTTCCCCCCCCCAGCGCGCGGTGCGGAGGGGCCGGTCCGAGCCGCGCCGGGGCCGGAGCGTGGGGGTTCCGGGCCGCGGCGAGACTCCCCGTGTCCAGCGCCGGGCTGGTACCGGTTCCGGGGTGCCGGCCCAGCTGCCACGCCTGGCCGTTCCGGGCCCGGGCCCTGCCCCTTCTCCCCGGGCCCTGGGAGATCCCTGGCGCTCGGTGGCGGGCAGCGCTGCCGGGCCCCGGGACTGCCCCCCCGCCGGGCCCGGTGCAGCGCTCTCTGCAGCCCGCTGTGCAGGCCGGTGCCATATGCCGACGTGTCACAAACACGCTGGGCTCGGGCTGTCCCGGGGCAGCGCCGGCTGCGCCTTGATGGGCTGGAGCAGCGGATCTCAACTTTTCCAGGCTGTGCCCCTTTCAGCAGGCCCACGGGTCTTATGAACCCCCAAGTTTCACCTCACTTATAAACTATTTGCAGATGATACAAAACTATTCTTCCCAGGCAGACTGCGAAGAGCTACAAAAGGATCTCTTATACAAAACTGGGTGACTGGGCAACAAAATGGCAGATGAAATTTAATGTTGATAAATGCAAAGTAATGCATGTTGGAAAACATAATCCTAACTATACATATACAATGATGGGGTCCAAATTAGTTGTTACCACTCAAGAAAGAGATCTTGGAGTCATTGTGGATAGTTCTCTGAAATCATCCGCTCAATGTACAGTGGCAGTCAAAAAAGTGAACAGAATGTTGGGAATTGTCAAGAAAGGGATAGATAGTAAGACACAGGCAATATGATATTGTCTGTATAAATCCATGGTATGCCTTCACTGTGAATACTGCGTGCAGATGTGGTCGCCCCATCTCAAAAAAGATATATTGGAGTTGGAAAAGATTCAGAAAAGGGCAACCAAAATGATTAGGGGTATGGAACAACTTCCGTATGAGGAGAGATTGATAAAACTGGGACTTTTCAGCTTGGAAAAGAGGCGACTAAGGGGGGATATCATAGAGGTCTATAAAATCATGAGTGGTATAGAGAAAGTAAATAAGGAAGTGTCATTTACTCCTTCTCATAATACAAGAACAAGGAACCACCAAATGAAATTAATAGGTAGCAGGTTTAAAACAAACACAAGGAAGTATCTTTTCACACAATGCACTGTCAACCTCTGGAACGTCTTGCCAGAGCGTGTTGTGAAAGCCAGTACTGTAACAGGATTCAAAAGGGAGTTAGATAGTTTCATGGAAGATAGGTCCATCAATGGCTATTAGCCAGGATGGACAGGAATGGTGTCCCTAGCCTCTGTTTGCCAGAAGCTGGGATTGGGTGACAGGGCATGGATCACTTGATGATAACCTGTTCTGTTCATTCCCTTTTGGGCACCTGCCATTGGCCACTGTCAGAGGACATGATACTGGGCTTGATGGACCTTTGGTCTGACCCAGTATGGCCGTTCTTATGTTCAGTGGTTTTCAAACTTTTTGAGCTGGACCCCCCACCCCCCTTTGAGTTACAATTTTCAGTTGTGTACCCCTGGCCCCCCCCCCTCCCCAGCCCAGACAAAAAGAGGTGAGTCGGGGGTGGAGGTGGTGCTCCCTCTCTGAGCTCCACCGGGCTGAAGCCCAAGCTGCCTGGCGTCACCGCACGTTCACCCAAATGTTTCTCCAGGCCCCCCACAGTTTGAAAACCATCTCAAGGGACTTTCATTACATCACATGTTAATGTATTGAGAACGTCTCCATCTATGGATATTTGTGTTCTCAGCTCCCAGGATCCTGATTCTGCAGTTGGGTCTGTGTGGGCAGCGGCTTATCAACCTCAGTTAGGCATTTCATGTTCTCAGAAGCCTGTCTGCATGGATCTGATTTCAGGATCAGGGCGCCAGTATGTCCTGTGAGGGTAATGCGGGTGGTCAGGCAGCTGGTTTTCTGTGGTCACTGCTTTTCATGCTGGCTGGTTTTGTTTTATTCTTTCCTAGTGCTCCCCTCATCTTTTCATTTAGCCACTTGTTTTTGTAACATTACACTTAGCCCTGGTCTACACTCGGGGGTGGGGTGATCGATCTAAGTTACGCAACTTCAGCTACGTGAATAACGTAGCTGAAGTCGACGTACTTAGATCGACTTACTGTGGTTTCTCCACCGTGGTGAGTCAACTGCTGCCGCTCCCCCGTCGACTCTGACGGCGCCTCTCGCAGCGCTGGAGTACAGGAGTCAACGGGAGAGCGCTCAGGGCTCTATTTATCGCGTCTAGACTAGACGCGATAAATTGATCCCCGCTGGATCGATTGCTGCCCGCTGATCCGGTGGGTAGTGAAGACATACCCTTAGATTGTAAGGTCTTCCAGGGAGGGATTGTCTCTATTGCGTTTCTACAGTGCACAGTGGGGCCCTGGTTTATAGGCTCTACAGTAATACAAATAATAAAGAAAAGCATCTACAGTACAGTAGCAAGATGCAGACTATATTTTATTGAGTAGTAATATTATGTGAACAGTTCCATTGCTAAAGTATGATGTGGCTTCATAAATCCATTGGTTTGCAATCGGGCTACCCTTGGTAAGAGAGAGGAAAAGGGAGAATACTGATGGAAGGAGAAGCAAGAGAGGAAGGGCGCATATTTAGGCCCTAGTCCTGCATCAGGGGCTGTCGTTAGATAGTGTTTGGGATTCAGTTTGGTTATGTTTAACTGGGCAGCCTAGATACAGTTTCTGAAGAGATGTTTTCTAGGGGTTAAGTTCACCTTGCTGTGTCTCCATAGATGTATTAGAATTCTGAGTTTTGTCAGTTTTGTAGAGGCACCCGTAAGCTTTGTGAAATCAGAGTTTGGGAGCATTGGGTGGCACCCAGGGAGCTTCAGCCCTGAGAGATTTCGGTGTGGAGGAAGGAGCCTTGGTTTGTGTATGCAGCTTTGGAAGCAGCTGACCTATGGCTTACTGGAGTTTGGACAATCAGGGTTGAAAGGTGTTGTCATATGACTGCTAGTCTGGTATCTAAAGCGGTGTAGTCTGAGGGTGGTATAGGGAAAGAGCAGGTACTTTTCTCTTTGACATGTTTTTGGGGGAAGGAGTGGATCTGTTTTTTTTCCATAGTCGAACTTTCAACAATTAATGTCGTGTGGCAAAAATACAAACCGTGTTCCAAATTTTTCCCTATCATCTTTCCCTGGTAGCAAGCCTCTGGGTCCTGAAATTAATCCTCTTGTCGACCTGGACTTGCTTTGCTTTTTCTCAGTGTGCTTGCCCTTTTGTTCCTGAGTAGGGATTGCAGAATTGATGATGCCCAGTTCTTGAGAACCTGTTAGTCAGGCTTTGACCTCTGATCTGCAAAGTGACGTGTGAGTGCAGTAACCCTGGTGCTATCTAGCCCTCCCGTCACTTTCACACTTAGCTGACATCAAGGCTTGGTCTACCCTAAAAAAAAAATTCTACCAGTATAATTGGCGATTAATTGTGTTATTTATTTATTTAATTTATTTATTTATACCTGTAATACTGGTATAAACCCTACTGTGGAGGCAGTTTTACCAGTATAAGGTATTTTATACTGGTATAGCTTTTGCTGCCTAAACCAGAATGAGCTATACCAGTATAATCACTTTTATACCATTATACCTGATCCACTCCAGGGGTTTTTGGCCACTTCTACGTCACTGGGATTGTTAAAAGCAGTTCAACTTTCTAGTCTAGACAAGGTCTGAGACATTGTCTGGATTTTAATTTGATGAACTCTGATTTTAATGGGAAGTAGGAAAGGAGTTAGAGATTGTGATAACTCTCTTTGCTTCCCCAAGTGTTGCAGATCAACAAGGATGATGTGACTGCCCTTCACTGCAAAGTGGTGTGTCTCATTCAGAATGGAAGCTTCAAGGAAGCCCTCAGTGTAATCCACACCCACACCAAAGTGTTAACCAGGTGAGTGGTAGCCCCACAGGCTCCTGCAAATGAAAAAAACACAAGCCCCAGGAAGCTATTAATCTAGGTAGAAGGGTGGTGCTGGTTGGCAATGGCTGTTGCTGATGTTTTCAGTGTTTCACATGCTTAACTTTAGGCTTGGTCTATACTACACAGTTAGGTCAATGTAAGGCAGCTTATGTCAACCTAACTATGTCAGTATACGCACCACAGCCTTGCTCCCTCCAATGTAAGTGCCCTACTACGCTGACAGAACTCCATCTCCACAAGAGGTGTAGACCTTATGTCAGTGTAGTTACGGTGACGTAGTATCTGTGTAGACACTTATATATGCTGTTGGCTGTCATCCAGTGCAGCTGTGAAATTGACAAGAAAGCTGGCTCCTGGCTCACCCATTGGGCTGCTACCAGGTCTCTGCTCCAAGCCGGGCTGTCACCTGAGCTCCCCATTCCTCTCTGGGAGCCCTACTGCCCCCCGGGGTCCCAGTTCCCCAGCGGGAACACGGCAGCTGACCAGACTACGGGTGCTGATTTACCTGCCGGAGGTGAGAAGCCCCGGGCGACTTGCCCCCCACTCCTGACTGGGAGCATGCAGGCGAGAAGCCTTGCGGGGGCAGCTGGACTTCCAGTGCGGAGTGGTGTGGAACTGAGAGCCCAGGCCAGTGGAAGTGCTCATGGTGAGGATGCACAGCACTGACAGAAGAGGGGTAGTGTGGACATCAGCCACCGTGGTAATTACTGTGGTGGCTGTAAGTCGATCTAACATAGGTCGACTTAAGATTGTAGTGTAGAGGTGCCCTTACTCTCATAAGCACTCCTGTGAAAGACAATGGAACTGCTCAGGTGAATAAAGTTCAGAATATGCAAAAGCGTTCCCAAGACTGGGGCCCATTCCCCTCCTTATCTCCATTTTCCCATCTGTGAAACTGCAGTGATAAATGTTACGTATCTACCTTCCTGCCTCACAGGGCTGTTTGTGGCCTAGTGTCTGTGCAGTGGCTTAAGATGAAAACTGCTATGTAAGAACTCACTATTAGCAAAACTAATGTATGTACTGTCAGAAGCACTTCCCTATGGGAAAGCAAGAAGTATGCATGGAGGGAAAGGATGTAGGACTGATTATTGTTATAGTACAAGAGTAGACTCTAAAAGTATTTTCTCATATTTCTTATTTATAACCACTAATGTGAATGTAAAAAAAATCAATCTAGACTTTAGCCTTAATTCCTTGCCTCTTTGAACACTCATAACTTAAATAGCAAAGCAACTTTCATTCAGCCTATGTAAAAATATGTGTGTGTGTGTGTGTGTATGTACTTGTGAGGACTGGTAGAACCTCATGGGAAATTACCTGTCAGGTGTAATGGTAGTGGATCGCATGAGACGTAGATAGCCTTACAGGTAGTGCTCGGAAGGAATTGGTGGTTGTGGTACATGTAGGTACCAAAGACATAGGAAAAGGTAGAAGAGAGGTCCCGGAGGCCAAATTTAGGCTGCAAGGTAAGAGATTAAAGTCCAGGATCTCCATGGTAGCGTCTTCTGAAATGCCTCCTCAGTAGAGAAATAATTCAATACCCTTGTGCTGACACATGCTGTTCTGTCTCTAGCAACACGGTAGGCTTATAAGAGTAGTTATGGATGCTCAAATAAGGGTTCATGGCTCTCCTAGGAGGCAGATGTTGTAGAATGAGCGCTGTGGTGATGCGCCCGCCATCCGTCTCTGCCTTGTTTTCGCAGTGACTGTATCACATTTGAGAAGGCGTACTGTGAGTACAGGTTGAACAGAATTGAAAATGCCCTGAAGACCATTCAGAGTGCCAGCCAGCAGACAGACAAACTGAAGGAGCTGCATGGACAAGTGGTAATTACTGCTTTGGAAACTCTGTGTCTTTCATTCATGAGCTCTCTGCTTTGTGAAGGTGGAAAAAGTCAGAGAGAAACTTTTCTCCCCCTCAGGTGTGATTTTATAAATGGTTATGTTCTGGGCGAAAACCCCAGTGAAATCAGTAACAAAACTCCCACTGACTTCAGTGGGGCCTAGGATTTTACCCTCTCTTCTAGTTAGCCGGGGTCTCCCAAACTGTCAGATAGCACCACCCTTTCACTTGTTGGCTCACTAATCTTCCCCCACTTCCATCCATTTCAGCTCCTAATGAATCACATTCCTCTGTTCCGGAAAGCAGGGTAGTTTGCTGGACGCCACTGAACCAAAATGTGCCTGTGCAGCCATACAGTTGGCCACCTTCCTTCCCCCCAGGGCTAGAATGAAGTGATTTGCTTGATTTCCATCAGCCAGGGAAGTGGGCGGTCCTGAGGCGAGTGCTTTACTTCTCACTCTGTGAGCGCTTGGTTTAGGATCTAGTCCTGCACATGCTTCATGCATATAGCTCTGACATCAGGAGCCGCTGTGTGTGAAGCAACACAAGGATGGACTACCTTGGAGCATCAGGATTGAAAAGAGGAAGAGAAAAGGCTTTTCCTCCTCCTTTTGTTTCCATAGTTGATTAGAATAATCCCAACATGTGGAAGAAACAGTTGTTTGCTGTAAACAGTGCTTGAAAGATGGTCATTTAATTTGCTCCCTAGAGAGCTAAAGCCTGCTGTGAGGAGGCTGGCAGAGACCACAATGGACTCTATTTTCTCAAGTAAATTCTGAATTAGACTTTACAGCACTTGTTCGGGTGTCTCTAGTTGTGGATGCCGATGTGCAGGGCAATGTCTCTCTTTTCAGTTGTACAGGTTGGAGCGCTATGATGACTGCTTAGCTGTGTATCGGGATCTCATCCGGAACTCCCAAGACGACTACGAAGAAGAAAGGAAAACCAACCTTTCTGCAGTGGTTGCAGCACAGAGCACATGGGAGAAAGTGGAGCCAGTGAGTTTGTGTGCATGCATGCACGCGTGGGAGAGATTGTTCCTCCTTCCACCCTCTCTCTGCTGAACCTTGCCCGTGTTAGAACACTTCTGAAGATGGATTGCATGGCTCATAGATGGTAGAGGCAGGAAGAGGACATTCGAGAACCCAAATCGTTAACAGAAAATAGGAGAACTCAGCTAATACACACAGAAAATGACAGGTTTCAGAGTAGCAGCCGTGTTAGTCTGTATTCGCAAAAAGAACAGGAGGACTTGTGGCACCTTAGAGACTAACCAATTTATTAGAGCATAAGCTTTTGTGAGCTACAGCTCACTTCATCGGATGCATTCAGTGGAAAATACAGTGAGGAGATTTATGTACACACAGAACATGAAAAAATGGGTGTTTATCACGCACACTGTAAGGAGAGTGATCACTTAAGATGAGCTATTGCCAGCGGGAGAGTGGGGGGGGGCGGGGGAGAAAATCTTTTGTAGTGATAATCAAGGTGGGCCATTTCCAGCAGTTAACAAGAATGTCTGAGGAACAGTGGGGGGGGGGAGGGGGGGAATAAACAAGGGGAAATAGTTTTACTTTGTGTAATGACCCATCCACTCCCAGTCTCTATTCAAGCCTAAGTTAATTGTATCCAGTTTGCAAATTAATTCCAATTCAGCAGTCTCTCGCTGGAGTCTGTTTTTGAAATTTTTTTGTTGAAGAATAGCCACTTTTAGATCAGAAATTGAGTAACCAGAGAGATTGAAGTGTTCTCAGACTGGTTTATGGATGTTATAATTCTTGACGTCTGATTTGTGTCCATTCTTTTAAGTAGAGACTGTCCAGTTTGACAAATGTACGTGGCAGAGGGGCATTGGTGGCACATGATGGCATATATCACATTGGTAGATGTGCAGGTGAACAAGCCTCTGATAGTGTGGCTGATGTGATTAGGCCCTATGATGGTGTCCCCTGAATAGATATGTGGACACAGTTGGCAACGGGCTTTGTTGCAAGGATAGGTTCCTGGGTTAGTGGTTCTGTTGTGTGGTTGCTGGTGAGTATTTGCTTTTGTTTCGGGGGCTGTCTGTAGGCAAGGACTGGCCTGTCTCCCAAGATTTGTGAGAGCGATGGGTCGTCCTTCAGGATAGGTTGTAGATCCTTGATGATGTGTTGGAGAGGTTTTAGTTGGGCCACCTGCTGAAGTGAAGAAACAGATTGACAGAGCCAGAAGAGTACCCAGAAGTCACCTACTACAGGACAGGCCCAACAAAGAAAATAACAGAACGCCACTAGCCATCACCTTCAGCCTCCAACTAAAACCTCTCCAACGCATCATCAAGTGAGGGTGATGGTGGTTTCTCCAAACTGGAGGCCTCCTATCCAACAGGAGCACATCCAGATTGACCTCTGGAAGTGTCAGAGGTCACTCTTGTGGTTTATCCATGCAATCAGTGTCCCTTAATGCACGAGTGCATGACGTACTTCAAGTTTCTAGTTTGGGAATGTGGACATTTATTGCTAATGAGTCATCTGTCACCTTGCTTACCAGTGTCTCTTTTCTATTGGATACCCCAGCACGTCATGAAGTATAATTTAATGTAAACTACAGTTAACAAAAGTGCCTTTTGCTATTGGCACATATTACCACACTTGTGCAATCTGGTAATTTACAGTGGGTCTCCAAGACCGTGCAAACCAGCAAGATTCCACTGAATGTGAATGGATGTAAGCCCTTGGTCCTGCAAAGCCTACTTAAATCCAGTAGAACATTGCTAATCTGCACTAGTGACTGGGAAGAGCCATTGCAAGTGTAAAGCTCAATAGTTAGGCACATTAAATAAGTTTTTAAATATTTAAGACTGCAGCTTGTCTTTGAAATTCTCCAGGGCTACAGTTTCTGCCAATTCTCTCTGTGCTTAAACAGCCTGGACAGCTCCCCTGAGGTCTAATCTGATTTTCTCTAATTCCTAAGAACAGGACTGCTCTACAGCTAGGAGTTGGATAGCTCCATTGCAGATTCCCCCTTGGCTTTGTCCTGCAGCATAAAGGGAAGACCATTCATGTCGTGGCTTTTTAGACAGCACATATCCTCTCAAGATCACCTTCGCATGTGGATTTCATAATGAATCTTCTGTTGTATATTAATCTAAGAAGTTGGCATGTTTGCTAAAAGCTATGATTTGTGTCTGTAGTAATCCTATAAAAGTGGCTTTAAACAAATCTGTTTAGATTCTAATCCAAAATTAGGCTGTATTTAATTTCTTTCAAGCATTTAACCCAATCCTTTCACTCCATGTCAGGAAGATCTGGGCCTCCAAGAAGCTACCTATGAGCTGTGTTATAATGCTGCATGTGCATTGATTGGTCAAGGCAGGCTGAATGAGGCAATGAAAAACCTACAGAAAGCAGAAGGTAAAAACACAGGGGGGTTATAGATCTCTCTGTCACTCATTCTTTGTAAACACATTTAAAGAGAGAACAAGGATTTGATACCGGATTGAAAATGGGATTGGACAACCATAGGGTTCTTCTATTACAGTTTCCATAGCTTGTTTGCCAAGACGGGTTGGGACATAGTAGCACTTAACATTCCTTAAATAAATTTTATTATATCAGTAATTTTTAACTCTTGTAGATCAAACTGTTTTCTTATCTACAATTCCCATGTAGTCCATAGTTTTTCAATCTGTAGATCTCAGCTTGCTTTCCAGCTATGCATAGTTTATTGTTTTGCTGTCATTTTACAATAGTAAACTGTATATAACATCTCAGTCTTCTCTCCCAATTGGTGTTTAATTCTCAAATGCAATTTGGTATCTGCTTATAATTTTGTCAGTGCAATCTCTTCACGTTAGCAGAAGTTTTAAAAGCCCTATTTAGTTGTTGTTTTATGAGTGTACTGAAGACTGTAGAGTGCCGTAATGTTCTGAGTTGGGGGTTGCCCTATCAAGTGTACTAACTTTGATTTTTCACATTCAGAAAGACCATTTTTATTATTGTTATATTTCAGTCTGTTCAATAAGATGTGTAGGAAGGAGAATAAATGATTAAAGTAGAAGCTGATAGTAGCAAAGAGGAACCAAGTTACAGGCCTTTCAGATTAGGTTTAACATCGACAGCTGCAAAACTGAAAAGCTTGATCTCCCTTATATCCTCTTATTAAGCTGACTAAATATGTTATAGGTGGAGCTGGCAATGCCATCAATACTTAAAGCTACCCAACACTTGCCATTGTAAGGCCCTGTTTTCAGTTGCTTATAACTTTGCCAGACTATAGTCATTCAGAAGTTTTCCAGGCCAGGTGCTTGCCTTAGGCCTGACATTTTTGGAAAACCTCAGCATAAATAGTTCAGCCATTTCCAAGAAGGGGTGTAAGAAACAATACCTTAGTTTGCCCATGTTAAAAACCAAACAAACAATGCTTACAGCAGTTTCATTGAGAAGTTCTGGCACGCCCAAGTGACACAGCAAGTACTCAGTATTTGGAAAAGGGGTTGCCCTGGTGTCATGGATGTGCCTTTTGTCATCACAAGCTATACGTCTCTGAAAATCTCAATTCTCAAATACTAGAGGTTTGTTAGTTTTACAGCTAAATTTGTAAATCTGTCTGTGTGCAACCAGATGAGGAAGGGGGCTGAGTTAAGCTTGCACAGGCAACCTTAATTCTGGCCTTTCCTGACTTTGGAGTGCTTGACTTTGCAAACTTAATGTACTTCTAACATAATTTTTTGGTTCAGTAGCTAATCTATAATGTTACTGTGGAATCAGGAGTGCTAGTTTTGTACATTCCTATTTAGTAATTTTGCTTTTTTGTGATCTAATTGTGGAAAATAATGCGAACCCTTCAGGTTTGTCCTGTCGGATACCATGGTAATAAATAACATAGTTCAGTCTTGACCTTAGTTACAGTTGTGTGGAGCTAGACGAGCTGCAGGTCATTCTTAGTGCATGTTCTTTCTACTGTTAGTTAATCCAGGCGCTGAGACAATAATCTTTAGGAAAACACAGAGCTTCACTGCTTTTATCACACTGCAAAACTGCTTACTGAGCAGTAGGTGAGAGAGAAGAGTAGACTCCAGGAATAAAAGTGGGGATGAAAACCAGAAGGACCTAGTGAGGCAGTATTGCACAAAGGAGAATGACAAAATCTACATCAGTCTTTTAAGTCTGGGTAAGGCCATATGAGTAACAAGTAATTATGGTGGAGAGAGCTCCTTCATGAAAGATCATAAAGTATTTTTAAAGAAAATGAACAGGGGAAGGAGAGAAACAAGTAAAAAAACAGGTTTCAGAGTAGCAGCCGTGTTAGTCTGTATTCGCAAAAAGAAAAGGAGTACTTGTGACACCTTAGAGACTAACAAATGTATTTGAGCATAAGCTTTTGTGAGCTCCAGCTCACTTCATCCACTGATGCATCCAATGAAGTGAGCTGTAGCTCACGAAAGCTTATGCTCAAATAAATTTGTTAGTCTCTAAGTAAAAAAACGTGAGTACTCAAAAAGAATTCTGGAGGAGCAATGTCTCCGGCATTCTTGACTTTTTAAAAAATTTCACTGTAGACTGTATTTCTCTCCCACACACACCCAATCATTTCCTTACTTTCTTGCATTAAAAAGTACTTGTGAAACTTTGTAGAAGCCTCACTTATTATCCACAATGGGCACATGATATAAACAAACATTCCTGCCATCGTCTTGTTCTGTGCTTTCCTCTAGGTAAGAATTAACCCTTTCTAAATTTGTCTTTCAAATTATTTTCTCTAGATCTGTGTCGCCAGTCGCTTTCAGAAGACTCTGTAAGTTGTTGTTGTTACTCTGAATAATGTGCCTTTTACACCAAAGCATTTCAAAGCAGTGCCCCAGGGATTAGCCATGTGATCACTTATTAAATTGCTATGCAATATCATACCCAGCAAGAGTCACCAGTCTGCCTAATTTCATGTTCCCAATACCACTCCTGAGGTGTGAGCTATCCTTCTGCCTGTTGCTAAAATTTAAATTCTTGGGGCCTGACTGTCTCCTGTCTTGCCCCTTCTGCAGTCCCTTCATCAGTGCAATGTGTGTGTACTCCTACCACATTAGAGGGGTGGGTACGCCCACTGCAGAGGTATTGAGGCTGTGTGAATCAGGCCCACAATTTGTGATTCATATCCAGCACACTTTGACATATCTGTAGGGTGGAAGCAGGCCGCACACACGTGGGTTGGGAGGGTACTTTCTGTTGTTAAAAGTAGCTCTGCCTTTTGCGCCTATTTTCTGCTTTATGGCGTGAATGTGTGTAATGGTGTCTTTTGAAGATATGCTCTTCTAGTGGTGGGGATTGTGACTGATGGTTTTGCCCAAGATCGACTGAAAAAGGAACAGGTCCTCTGCGAAACGCTGAAGCCAGGGAGCACACGAAAGGAGAGTCTTCATTTTGTTTTGTCTGGATTTTCCTTCAGGATGTGACTGAGGAAGACATTGAGGCTGAGTTGGCCATTATTCATGGTCAGATGGCCTATATCATGCAACTACAGGGACGTACAGAGGATGCTCTCCAGCTTTACAATCAGATCATCAAATTAAAGTAAGTGCTTCATTCAAACAAGCTCTCATCCTTCCACATGTGACAAGGCTGCTGTCTAATAGCTGTGCCTTTCATTCTCATTTGTTGTCTGCAGGCCGACAGACGTGGGATTGATTGCTGTCATTGCAAATAACATCATCACTATTAATAAGGTATAGAATTTGCCCATCCTCTTTCTAAAGCATTTTTGCAAAGAAGTGAGAATGAACTCAGAACTTACCACATAGAATCATAGAATCATAGAATGTCAGGGTTGGAAGGGACCCCAGAAGGTCATCTAGTCCAACCCCCTGCTCGAAGCAGGACCAATTCCCAGTTAAATCATCCCAGCCAGGGCTTTGTCAAGCCTGACCTTAAAAATCTCTAAGGAAGGAGATCCTACCACCTCCCTACGTAACGCATTCCAGTGTTTCACCACCCTCTTAGTGAAAAAGTTTTTCCTAATATCCAATCTAAACCTCCCCCACTGCAACTTGAGACCATTACTCCTCGTTCTGTCATCTGCTACCATTGAGAACAGTCTAGAGCCATCCTCTTTGGAACCCCCTTTCAGGTAGTTGAAAGCAGCTATCAAATCCCCCCTCATTCTTCTCTTCTGCAGGCTAAACAATCCCAGCTCCCTCAGCCTCTCCTCATAAGTCATGTGTTCCAGACCCCTAATCATTTTTGTTGCCCTTCGCTGGACTCTCTCCAATTTATCCACATCCTTCTTGTGGTGTGGGGCCCAAAACTGGACACAGTACTCCAGATGAGGCCTCACCAATGTCGAATAGAGGGGAACGATCACGTCTCTCGATCTGCTCGCTATTCCCCTACTTATACATCCCAAAATGCCATTGGCCTTCTTGGCAACAAGGGCACACTGCTGACTCATATCCAGCTTCTCGTCCACTGTCACCCCTAGGTCCTTTTCCGCAGAACTGCTGCCTAGCCATTCGGTCCCTAGTCTGTAGCTGTGCATTGGGTTCTTCCGTCCTAAGTGCAGGACCCTGCACTTATCCTTATTGAACCTCATCAGATTTCTTTTGGCCCAATCCTCCAATTTGTCTAGGTCCTTCTGTATCCTATCCCTCCCCTCCAGCGTATCTACCACTCCTCCCAGTTTAGTATCATCCGCAAATTTGCTGAGAGTGCAATCCACACCATCCTCCAGATCATTTATGAAGATATTGAACAAAACCGGCCCCAGGACCGACCCTTGGGGCACTCCACTTGATACCGGCTGCCAACTAGACATGGAACCATTGATAACTACCCGTTGAGCCCGACAATCTAGCCAGCTTTCTACCCACCTTATAGTGCATTCATCCAGCCCATACTTCCTTAACTTGCTGACAAGAATACTGTGGGAGACCGTGTCAAAAGCTTTGCTAAAGTCAAGAAACAATACATCCACTGCTTTCCCTTCATCGACAGAACCAGTAATCTCATCATAAAAGGTGATTAGATTAGTCAGGCATGACCTTCCCTTGGTGAATCCACGCTGGCTGTTCCTGATCACTTTCCTCTCATGCAAGTGCTTCAGGATTGATTCTTTGAGGACCTGCTCCATGATTTTTCCAGGGACTGAGGTGAGGCTGACTGGCCTGTAGTTCCCAGGATCCTCCTTCTTCCCTTTTTTTAAAGATTGGCACTACATTAGCCTTTTTCCAGTCATCCGGGACTTCCCCCATTCGCCACGAGTTTTCAAAGATAATGGCCAATGGCTCTGCAATCACAGCCGCCAATTCCTTCAGCACTCTCGGATGCAACTCGTCCGGCCCCATGGACTTGTGCACGTCCAGCTTTTCTAAATAGTCCCTAACCATCTCTATCTCCACAGAGGGCTGGCCATCTCTTCCCCATTTTGCGATGCCCAGCGCAGCAGTCTGGGAGCTGACCTTGTTAGTGAAAACAGAGGCAAAAAAAGCATTGAGTACATTAGCTTTTTCCACATCCTCTGTCACTAGGTTGCCTCCCTCATTCAGTAAGGGGCCCACACTTTCCTTGGCTTTCTTCTTGTTGCCAACATACCTGAAGAAACCCTTCTTGTTACTCTTGACATCTCTGGCTAGCTGCAGCTCCAGGTGCGATTTGGCCCTCCTGATATCATTCCTACATGCCCGAGCAATATTTTTATACTCTTCCCTGGTCATATGTCCAATCTTCCACTTCTTGTAAGCCTCTTTTTTATGTTTAAGATCCGCTAGGATTTCACCATTAAGCCAAGCTGGTCGCCTGCCATATTTACTATTCTTTCGACTCATCGGGATGGTTTGTCCCTGTAACCTCAACAGGGATTCCTTGAAATACAGCCAGCTCTCCTGGACTCCTTTCCCCTTCAAGTTAGTCCCCCAGGGGATCCTGGCCATCCGTTCCCTGAGGGAGTCGAAGTCTGCTTTCCTGAAGTCCAGGGTCCGTATCCTGCTGCTTACCTTTCTTCCCTGCGTCAGGATCCTGAACTCAACCAACTCATGGTCACTGCCTCCCAGATTCCCATCCACATGCAGAGCTCCCATTGGCTTTGAGGGGGGTTCTGCGTGCAGAGAGATTGGAGAGTTGCATCTCTCTTCGAACTAAGTCCTTACTTTCAAGGGGAAGCACTCTAGCATGAAAGTTCTATTTACAGTGTTGCTGTTTGTGCTGTTACACTGGTATTTCCATTATATTTTTATCCTTATAGGCCCCAGTCCTGCAAAAATAGATGCAAAAATGATCTTGCACATAGATAAATTCACCAGAATGAGTCCCACTGGAGCCAGTCACACTGCTTGCATGACTAGAGTTACATATGTGGCTAGGAATTTGCAGGATCTGGGTCTTAGAAGACTGGAGCTTCCAGACTAAGGGTGTGTGTGTGTGAGAGAGTTTTTCAGGTACAGGATTGAGGGAGATGGGAAGATTCTGGATTTAGGTGTGCTGTGCTTGTGCTTCTGTAACTTCTAAAGTGCATCACGCAAGCTGTTAGTGCGTATTGTGGACATGAGGCTTTTGTGCTGTCTTCAAAACCTGATGGATGACTTCAGTGAAATTTACATCAAGTGCACAGCCACAACAGTATTTTTATGTGTGAAAACTACAAATAGCATAACGGAGGAGTCATTTCTTATCTAGTCTCACCCTACTTCTGCACTATTGTCATGAGCATTGCAAGCATTGGGCTCAAGATCCTGAAATATTTGCAGAGCCTCAAGAAGAACGGAATGAATAGGGAGCATGACGGGTTCATGGAGGACAGATTGCTATGGGACACACAGAGAACCAATTCGAGGTTGGTGGTGGTGGTCTCAGAGTGGCTTCAGATAGTGGGGCACTGATTCTCGGACCAAGAAACAAGCACGAGCTGTTAGTATCACATTGTAATACAGGGTTGGGATGAAGAGCTCTGGATGCAGAACTTTCAGATGCACAATGCCAGATTTCTGGATCTGTGCACTGAGCTCATTCCAGCCCTCCGTTGCAGGGACACCAAAATGAAAACTGCACTGACAGTGGAGACGCAAGTAGTGATTGCACTGTGGAAACGTGTAACACCAGATCGCTATTGGTCACTCGGGAATAATTTGGAGTTAGGAAATGCACGCTGAGGGTCGTTGTGATGCAAGCATTCAGGACCATTATTCACCTCCTGCTATGCAGGACTGTGACTCTAGGCAATGCACAGGACATGGTTGATGGATTTGCAGCAGTGAGGTTCCTGAATTGCAGTGGAGCGATAGACAACACCTATGTACCCATTTTGGCACAAGCCCATGTTCATATAATCATAGAATAACAGGGTTGGAAGGGACCTCAGGAGGTCATCTAGTCCAACCCCCTGCTCAAAAGCAGGACCGATCCCCGACTAAATCCCACCCAACCCCTCCCCACCCCTTTTTTAAAAAATTTTAGAGAAGGAGGTTTCCCCCACCTACTAAAAAACCAATTCCTTTTTTCCACCCCCCCCCTAGAGAAAAAGTTTTTCTAAATATCCAACCAAAACCCCCCCCCCCCAACTAAAAACCATTCCCTCTTTTTTTTTTATTTCCACCCCCAAAAAAAAGTTTAGAGCCCCCCCCTTTGAAATCCCCTTTCAGGTAGTTGAAAGCAGCTATCAAATCCCCCTCATTCTTCTCTTCCGAAGACTAAACATCCCCAGTTCCCTCAGCCTCTCCTCATAACTCATGTGTTCCAGTCCCCTAATCATTTTTATTGCCCTCCGCTGGACTCTTTCCAATTTTTCCACATCCTTCTTGTAGTGTGGGGCCCAAAACTGGACACAGTACTCCAGATGAGGCCTCACCAATGTCGAATAGAGGGGAACGCTCACGTCCCTCGATCTGCCAGCAATGTCCCTACGAATACATCCCAAAATGCCATTGGCCTTCTTGGCAACGAGGGCACACTGTTGACTCATATCCAGCTTCTCGTCCACTGTAACCCCTAGGTCCTTTTCTGAAGAACTGCTGCAGAGCCATTCGGTCCCTAGTCTGTAGCGGTGCATGGGGTTCTTCCATCCCAAGTGCAGGACTCTGCACTTGACCTTGTTGAACCTCATCAGATTTCTTTTGGCCCAATCCTCCAATTTGTCTAGGGCCCTCTGTATCCTATCCCTACCCTCCAGCGTATCTACCACTCCTCCCAGTTTAGTGTCATCCGCAAACTTGCTGAGGGTGCAATCCACACCATCCTCCAGATCATTTATGAAGGTATTGAACAAAACCGGCCCAAGGACCGACCCTTGGGGCACTCCCCTTGATACCAGCTGCCAACTAGACATGGAGCCATTGATCACTACCCGTTGAGCCCGACAATCTAGCCAACTTTCTATCCACCTTATAGTCCATTCATCCAGCCCAAACTTCTTTAACTTGCTGGCAAGAATACTGTGGGAGACAGTGTCAAAAGCTTTGCTAAAGTCAAGGAACAACATGTCCACTGCTTTTCCTTCATCCACAGAGCCAGTTATCCCATCATAGAAGGCAATTAGCTTAGTTAGGCATGACTTGCCCTTGGTGAATCCATGCTGCCTGTTCCTGATCACTTTCCTCTCCTCTAAGTGCTTCAGAATTGATTCCTTAAGGACCTGCTCCATGATTTTTCCAGGGACTGAGGTGAGACTGACTGGCCTGTAGTTCCCAGGATCCTCCTTCTTCCCTTTTTTAAAGATGGGCACTATGTTAGCCTTTTTCCA